AAAACAGGCAGTGAGCCACTGTGAAATAAGGAGACATTAACGTCAGACAATTTTGCTACGTCAAAACTGTCCAAATAAGTAGTGTTAGTTTAGTATTCTGCATAGTTAACTAACAAAAAGAACGTTTTGCTTTGAAGTGCCCATCTACAGCAGCCTGTGTACAACTTTCACTAAGAGCTTTAGAATATCAAGCCAAAATCATAAATACGGTGTATTTACTACTGACCTCAGACTTTTTTCTTCCAGCCTTTCACTGTATTTGCTATTAGGGTGCTTTTAGACTGTATTTTTATGGGTAAAATTCCAGACGAGTTGAAATACACAAAAATTTTAGCATGTTYCTAAATAGGAACCAAGTTTTTATGAAACACACAAAAAACAAAGGGTCAGGRATACACAGCTCTGCCTTTGGGAGTTGTCTGAATGGCATCAAATAAGTTTCACAGCAAATTTACAATATAATACACGTTTCAGAAGAGCATTTGCCATCACCACAGGAGAAGATTGTCTAAGCTGCCAGCAATTCACCCGCCCACCTGTGAAGTTAGGCCCATAATGGAAATTCTCAGCTCATCAGAGTTAACCTATGGCTTATCAWGCAGGACTAATTACTGGTGTCCTTTTCCCATCAGACACCATCTCCTTTTCCTTTGAATCTCTAAAGGTAACAGTTAACACTCAAACCCAAAGAACCTGGGGGGTGAGGGCTGTAGGAGGTGTGAGAATGGGATGGGTGGGATGACAYACACTTTCTATTGTATGCAATCAGCTACAGTGCTACATACAATAAACCTAAATGGTGGCTCAACAATCGATAATCAAACCTAAATCCAGCTCTGCAGATGCTCTTGCAAGCAGAGGAAAGCAGGGTTCTCATTTGAGATCACATTTGACTGCTGTGCCCATTACGCACCACTGTGCAATGCCACCGAGGTCAAAATCACCCAGGTACTCCARATGGTTTCCAAATGTGAGTCACCCTCCATGCAACACCCAGACATTGCAAATACTATTGAAGAACAATGCTGCATTCAAGCAAATTGCAGAAATGCAAGATTGCAGCTGTTTAAACACAAATTGTGCTGATGAAATAGAGGAGTGAGTACTCAAAGAGGAAACGATTTAGCTGTTACAAATAGAAAGTGGGGCCTTCAAGTTCTCAGAGCTGCACCTATGTGGATTGAACTTTAAAGCAAAAATAACCATATCCACAAACCATGTGTTTTCATAGTAAAGTGTACTGGAACACTCTATAAACAAAAGGTGTGGTCCCCAAAGTATTGCTTCCCTCAGGAGTTGGCCAACAGAGCCCCTCGCATCTGGGCAGCAAATTAACACCCGTGCAAATACTGAATATCCACCTTCTCACGGCTGAAAGGACAGTGACAGCTGTTAGTAGCCACCCAGCTTTCACAAAGGTCAAAGAAATAYTTGATTAAATCACCTTCCTTCCCAGGTTTTTTTCAAAATTTTACCCTGAATGTGGGAAAAAACCCACTAAGAACAAACTCACAGTGTCAACACCTCTGAAACATTCATAACAAAAAGATAAAACTTCCCACATTCAATCACTTCATCACCTGCACCTGCCCTGCTGTGACAGGATTCTGAAAAGGCAGAATTTTTCATGGACCACTTAGCCACCAATTTACACGTAGCTCCACCAAACTACATCCTGTACCAAAAGCCATAATCAAGAAAGTTCATTCCATTCAATACACAATCATCAGCCAAAGCCTTCTCAATTCCTAACACAAGCACCAAAGTGCCAAGGCCGGTTTCAGCTCAGGTTGCAATGTAATCCCACTTTAGAGTGGGAATAGAGTGTTTCAAGGGCTTCATGCCACTCAAAAGGACGCTGGTGGGAAGTACGGCACACATTATGACTTTATTCACTAAAGCACCCTTCAGAAGAGCTGTGGGTGCCATGCTCCATGTTCTTTGCCCTTAGCCAAGAGAGGAAATGGGGGAAGGAGGTCCAACAGTGCTTTTACAGCCCGTAGTCCCCAAAGCGAAGTACTGAAGGTACAAGCCAAGTCTGTGCACCCCTACATAACCTTTACCTATCACTTCCAGGAGTTAAGTATGTGGAAAAACATTGCCAGTTTCAAGAATCAGACTTGAAATAAATAYGTGCTACACCCTCCTATCTGTCGGTGTTCAATGCACTCTTGAAACAGGGTGAAAAACAAAATGTTTTGGTGCTATGTCTGCACTTTGTCCTTTACCTGCTGCTTCCTCCTCATCTCCTGAATGTTTGGAGTAYAACAGGGTTTGGGTGGACAGAAACCACACACAGGGTTACATGAGACCTCCAGGCTTTGTTCTGTAACACCAGATTGYTGAAAGGCCCCAATAATAATAACAATTATGCTGATTGTGGGTCCATTTACACTCACAGGGACAATCTTGAGATGTTACTCAAAGTCCAGAATCAAGCAAAATATCAGGAGAAACTTCGCAATAGGATTTGCAACCCAGAGGCACAGGGTACACTCACATCACTGCACMAGGCTAAAAGCCTGTTTTGGGAATAACTCATATGTTGCCAAAGGGATTTTATTGCTTCTGAAGTATAAGGCTTTCTGCAGCCAGCTTTTTTTCCCCGCAAGGAATGAACAGAAATTCTAAGTAACTCCAAGCGTGTTAACATTCTACGTGCTCTAAAAAGCAAGCTCGATTTTACTTCTTAGCTATATTTAAAGGGGTGAATCATGAACACGTATCCAGCCTGGTAGATCAGAGATAGAGGGTGCAAGTCAAGCCTGATCAAACRCTGCTGATTTTTCTAGCAAATTTCTGAACTACAGTTTTAAACACTTGCTTTTGCYTCAACTTTCAGCCCTTCAAACCACATATGAGTCACATGTAGAACAGGCATTTGCTGCTTACCACACCTGCTCCTGAAAACCCATTCCCTGGCTACTTAAAGAAAAGAAAAAAAAAGTTCTAAGGTAAATGTAAATTTAATTTTGTTTAAGAAAGACCTGCCATGATCAACAAAAGAAGGTGGCATACATTAAATACCGGTTGTTTGTGTGGTTTTCTTTCCACTGAAAGGGAGAACACAGAGTGAGAAATCACTGTTTTGGCCTAAATACCCAGAGCATTGGAAACCGACGTGTTTTCAGAGCTCTGCCCAAATTAAAATTGAGTAACTCGTGCCAATTTTGTATCTAGGATCATTTATTCTGTTGATCCAACGCTATTCCTCAGTAACCTGCTACATTTCTCAAGAGTGCTACATTAAACAGTGGAAAATGATACTTTGATGCTGTTGAAGGCAATTTCAGAAACAAAATCTTTGGATAAAAAAATGATAAAAGCAATTTGTAACTGTTGCAGAAGACAACTACAGGACTGCACGCAAGYACACACACCTACAAATATTACATAAAACAAAAGGAACTATTTATAGGCACTACTCTCTACTACCATTCTGGTTCAGGAACAYCTCAGTATTGCTTGCAGTTTTCAGAATTATAAAAACAAAAAAATAGTTCCTTTTGAGAATTCATAATTTATTTTCCAGCGTCAAAAYTGTCAAATTACACTGCCTCTTACTTCAATTCCACTCAAACTATTCAGTCTCCTCCCAAAGCAGTCAAGGTGCAGAAAAAGGAGGCAACTGCAGGTTTTTCCCAGAAACATTCCCATGCAGCAGAGCTGTTTGTATACTGATGAATCAATATAGCATCACTACACGATTTCACCAGCATTTATCACCTTTCTTTCTATGGCATATGAAAACACACCAAAATAACCTCTCCCAGTCAGCAGTTGCTCCCTAATTTACTGCATAGTTCTAACCAGATCAGGCTATAACACGACTCCAATGTCACAGCAAAACGGGATGCTGAACTGCCTGCCAGAGCGGGCCAGGAATGTACCCAAGAAAAGACAGCAATTAACACATCTAAAATAACCATTTCTTCAAGAGACAGTTTATAAGCTCAGCTATATTTTCATCTCAACTCGCACCAGCCACAAACACATCACTACAGGAGAGAATCCTGCAGTGCTTTACAATCCAGATGACCCTCTGCCACTTATTCTTGACTTCTTCATTCAAAACACCGTTTCCGTTTCCCTCTTCCCCCTCCTCCCGAGCACAGATTTGTCCCAAGACGTTYCGTGTCCCACCACGGAGGGAACAGCCGCTCCACAGCCTCCTGCCCGCGGGTACCAGCCCTGCCAGACCCAGCAGGTTCGCTCCATGCTCCACCATCAAACATGGCTGCACCATGTCCTCTTTGTGATTGAATATGTGGAACAGCTTTTCTGCCTTCCCAGACTTCTTTTATCTSCCTTCCCTTATTTCTTCTCATTAGCAAGGGACTATTTCACATCTCCATTACCCACTTCTCATTCCTTTTAACAGTCAGATATTTTCCATTAACGTTCCACCGTCAACCAAATGCATTTATACTTTCCAGGTTCTCCTCAAAAACATCAAGGAGCTTTWTACATTGAAACCCTCTGCACCATTAAAGCCTGCTTTATTTACACACAACACAAAACTCTTCTCGTACAAATCTCCGTCCTTCAGACCCCGCGTGGAGAGAAGCCCCTTAACAGCAGCGGCTGGAAATTTTATCATCTGGCTTTTCTTCCCTGCAGCTCCCTCTCCTGAAATCGGACCCCTGTCCACAGATCCACCTCGGAGCCTCCCGCAGCAGCCACACACAAAACCCACCCCAGGCTCCGCTCAGAGCCTCCCTCCGCTCCACAGCCGCCGCCGCCGCGCTTTTTTTTTTTGTGCTACGGAGCTTTTTTTAATTTAATTCCTTCAGCAAAATTAAATCAAACTCCTGAASCTCCGCTGGGATTTCTCTGCAGAGGCTGCACATGAAACTTTGCGGAGCGGGGAGGACCCCCGGGTTGAGCCGCACCGAGGTGCCGGCTCAGAGGGGACCCGGCTCTCCGCACCGGCCCCGGCCACGGACCGTTATGCCCCGGTGCGGCTCCCGCAGCCCCGCTCCCCCCGCGCTCACACTCACCCACAGCTCCGTGCCCCAGCTCATGGCTCCGCCGGCGCTGAGGGGGCGGGCGGGGGGCGCTGGGGGGCTCGCTGTCCCCTGGCTGTGTGCGCTCGCCCTCAGGAGGGCCGTGCCCGGCGGTGCGAGCGGAGCGGGGCGGGACGGGCGCTGCTCACCGCCGCTCCCGCCTCATCGCGCCGCAAAATGGCCCGGGCGGCGCGGGGCGGGGGGGGCACTGACAGCTCCGGGCTGCGCAGGCGCGGAACCGCCGCCGATCGGGCGGGGGGGCGGCACCGCCGGAGGAGCGCACGCGCGGGCCCGTGCGCGAGAGGGGAGCGCGGGGCGGTCAGTGGGGAC